ATGTTTTTAAATTTATTAAGACTTGCTTTGTGGCCTAACATATGGTCTATCATAGAAAAAGTTCCATGTGCACTCACTTGCAAGCTTTTAAGACCCCAGTCACTACTTGCCAAAGTAGGATGTAGAACAATGTTTTTGTGTAGTATGTTATGCCAATTGAGCTTGATGTCCCCTGCAACCAAGGTCCCAAGCCCACAGGTCCAACTGCTTACTCCCTCTAGGTAGCTAGCTGTGGCCAAGAAGCCATCACAACTTTGTCCCTTGTCAGGTCTACTATATACCTGGACATTCTTACATCACATACAAATATGCATGTAGAGACATTGTATGCTAACCCTATGCGTGGTCATGGGCACACTACCCCTTGCCTAGACATAACTGATCATTCAGCTGACCACCCATCTCAGGGCTCCTTTTTCACATGATTCCCTCTGTCAGACTACCTTTTCCCTCTTTGTGCCTGTGCATTCTGTAAGACCTAGCTCTTACGTAGAATCTTCTGCTTTCTCTGCTGCTTCTACAGGCCTTATTCGTGTGCTATAATCACATTTATCACATTAGGTTGAAGTTATTTACTTACATGTTTTTCTATTCTAATAATATAACCTTTGTATTTCTTGAGGGTAAGGGTCCACTAGCCCAATGTCTGACATATAGGCGGTATTGACTGAATGAATGTCTGTTGAGTGATTTGTCCTAGTTTGTTCTGTTAACCTAACCTGTGGGAGAGAACCTGAGGAAGATGACATGGGCCTAGTTCTTGGAGAACTTGGGGTCTAATTTGGGATAAGATAAGAAGCTAAGTTTCCAGCCAAGGGACACTCTGGACATCCCTGCTGAAGGAAGGGCTGTGAAGAAGACATGGGAAGATGATGGAGGACAGGAAGATGGCTAGAGAGGAAGGAGAAGGAGTACTTCAGATACAGGAGGAATCCCTCCGTTAAAGGGTGGAGAGGCCAAGATGCTGACTGGAATATCTTTACTGGATAGGAGCAGAAGATCAGGGCCAGGGTGTCCTGGAAAGAAGCAAGACATATGAGAGATGCTTCAGGTCTCTGAGCAGGGTTGCCTGAGGAGGTCCATTCAGATGGCATTTCAATGCTGAGGCCCCCTGTCTAATGCTCCCTTTGTTGATCTTATCCTCCATCACTTCTCAGATGAACGCCTCACAGCTGAGGAGATGGATGAGCAGAGACGGCAGAATGTTGCCTATCAGTACCTGTGCCGGCTGGAGGAAGCCAAGCGGTGAGTGGAGGGATTGCCTCTTTCTGAAGCCCTTTTCCCATCCTGCCCATCCCAACCATCTGGCCCCAATGCAATAGAATGAGAGTCCATTCTGTGGGAAAGGGAGAGTTGAAATAGCTTTTTTAAAGCAAATTCCAAACATCTTTTAATTCCCCTATATACTTCAATATATATACCTTTAAAGATATTTGGATGTTTACTTACAAAAACATAATGCCATTGTAATACCCAACCAATTAACTGTGATTCCTTGAAAGATCAATACCCAGCCTATTTTCAAATTTCCCTGCTTGTATTTTATTATTATTTTTTTTAAATTTATTTTAAAGTTGTTATTGTGTTGTTAGGTGCTGTTGAATTGGTTCTGACTAACAGCGACCCTATGTACAACAGAACGAAACACTGCCTGATCTGGTGTCATCCTCAGTTTTTACAGTACACTTATTCAAATAAAGATCTAAAAGGGTTCACATATTACATTTGGTTATTGTGTCTCTTAAGCTCTTAAGTCTTTAGTCTAGAGCAGCCCCTCCTCTCCCTTTTTGATTCTTTGTGTCATTGGCTTGTGGAAGAAAGCAGGTCATTTGTCCTATAGTGCATCCCACATTCCGACTTTGTCTGTTTCCTTGTGTCATTTACCTTGTTCTTCTATACTCCATGTTTCCTGTAAATGGGTATTGGCTCTAAAGGCTTGCTAAGATTCAGGTTCAACATTGACGAGAAGACTTCATTGGTCATGCTGTGTGCTTCATATTGCATCTCACCAGAAGGAACACAAAGTCTGCTTGTCCCACTTTTAGTGATGCTGAGCCTGATTTGGGGGTTCAGGTGATAACAACCTGATCTGCACATGTAAAATCCCTCATTAACCTTTCACTTAATGCCTTTGTCCATTGTGGATAATCATTACAATCTATTATTTTGTTTTATTAGGGTATGCAAAATGACTTTCTATTTCGGTCATCTACATTTACTAGCTGAAATTATTTTCTAAAGAATTTTCCCTTATATCTTAGGGCTATTTCAAAACTCACTGCTGTCGAGTCAGATCCGACACAGTGACCCCTCCTGGGTTTCTGAGGCAGTATCTCTATGGAAGTAGATTGCCCAACCTTTCTTCCGAGGAGTGGCTGGTGGGTTTGAACCACCAGCCTTCTGATTAGCAGTCAAATGCCTTAGGTACTACACCACCAGAGCTCCCTAGAGCTATTTAATTATCCTTAAATTCAATTTGCCTAGGAAAAACAAGATAAATACTTAATTCTTTGCTTTTATCAATAGTATATATTGTATGTATTTGTATTTAAAAATTACATGAATCTTATAGAAAAAGGATATATAGAAGGCTATCAAATATCCTGCTAGATACTGTTATTATAAGGCATCTTCAAGTTTATTTTGGCTCATACTGACCACTGTGACAGAGCAGAACTGCCCATAGGGTTTTCTAGGCTGTAATTACAGAAGCAGATCACCAGGGCTTTCTTCTATAGAGCTGCTGAGTGAGTTCGAGCTGTCAGTCTTTGGCTGAGTAGTAGATATTGTTGTTAGGTGCCATTGAATCGGCTCCGACTCATAGCGGCCCTATGTACAACATAATGAAACACTGCCCCATCCTGCACCAACCTCACAATCCTCGCTATACTAGGTACCAGACAGTAGATACTAGGAAGATTCAAAGATAGCCATTTGTGCTTACCTTTTAGAGATATGAAGTCTACCATTAACAAACACATATACACCCACAGCATAATTACAACACAAAGGAATAAGTGTTGTGCTTGCAAGAATCTGAGGAAGGTTTACTGAGACAACTCAATGTCATATTTTTAATGTTCTCAAAAAAAGTGGATAGGATGGAGCTGGTAGGAAATCAGGTATCTGGCAGGGGAGGCATGACTTGATATATGACTGGCTTTCTTTGGAAACATATTTTCCCATAGGCACTATTATGTAGGGGAAGTTTGGAGACCCCATCTTAGGAGCCCTTATTCTTATGTAACTGTCAGCAATAATAATATATTCAAAGCATTAGATCATTTGTGCCGGCAGCTTCCCACTGAGGCAAGAGATACAGGTGGTATTATTCTCATTTTGCAGATTGGACAACTGAGGTTCAGAGAGGTGAAGTGAAGGAGGTGATATGGAAAGCGGGTCTTCTAATTCCAAGGGCTGTGACTTTTCTGTCTCACTGTGCTGCTCCCCTCGAGTCACCCCTAGGGGTTTCCCATCACTCTCATCATTGTCTAAGCTAGGTTATGAGCCGTACAGATCATTCAGGCAGATGTGACCTTTTCGTACCTGGGGTTTTCAGAGAACATGCAGAATAAGAGAAATGAGCAGATTCAATTTGGCTCAACAGTCAAATGCGTAACCAGACTGAGTGAGAGGTTATGTTATGGAACAGATTAAGAGCCTGATTAAGCCTCACTGACCATGGGCTGGGTCAAGATCTCTCTGGGAAGATTTTCTTGGTGGGTCTGGGAGCTGGCCAGTCCAGGTATTTGGGGCAGCTTGGGAAAAGATGGGAACAGCCAGGCAATGAGCAGAGAAGAGAGTTGGGGATAGGGTAGAAAGAGGAGGCAGGGGAGGGTTGGGGCTACCTGGGGGAGAGAGTGAGGGAAGGTACTCTGGTTGGAATAAATGGCTGTGGCATGACAGAGTGGGTGAGAAGGTACTCTCATACTCTTAGCTGGATGGAGGCTTGCCTGAAGGAGGAGCTGCCTTCCCCTGTGGAGCTGGAGGAGAGCCTCCGGAACGGGGTGCTGCTGGCCAGGCTGGGCCACTGTTTTGCACCCTCTGTGGTTCCACTGAAAAAGATCTATGACGTGGAGCAGCTGCGATACCAGGTGGGGAATAAAGGGTTCTACCTACCTTTTTCCTCTCAAATTACTCATTTTCCTCAAGGCTGTGAGGGTAGGGTGACCATATATATAATTTATCATCCAAACCTGGACACTTGAAGATGAAAGGAACTGCTTTTAATCATTGTACTGGGACAATAGATATCAGTTGATGTCTCCCAGCCAGGTGGGTGGGTATTATCCTTAGCAGCACAGAGCACATGCTAGGCGGGTTTTGAGATGCCCCTGGAAGGAGAACTGTCAAGCAGACTTCTACTCATAGTCCACATTCAGAAGCTGTGTGGACTTTGACATCCTGAGGGTACTTCCTGGATAGTTGCCTCCTCCTTATGTTCTAGCCAGCTCAACCCTCTTCTTCCTGTCCCAGCTCTGGACTCCCCTCTGTGCCATCTTTCCCAAATGTCCAGTTGGACCATCCATTGTTGGTGGCTTCTGTTTGTCTGTGTGTCTTTGTCTTGATGTGATGGGAAATCCACAAGGCAGAGTCCTCTGTGGATTTCCCACTGCCCTTGAGTCTCCGTAGGGAGGACTTTGCCCATAGGGAGCCCTGAGAACTGCGGAAACAGAGTCTCTTCTCTTCCCTTTCAGGCAACTGGCTTACATTTCCGTCACACAGACAACATCAACTTTTGGCTGTCTGCAATAGCCCACATCGGTCTGCCTTCGGTAACAACACTGGGCCTCAAGATTGGGGTTCATCCTTACTCTTTACCAGCACCCCCCACACTTTATTTTCCTCTAGCCTTATCTCCATATGTCTTTTAATCTATGAACAGTTCTTTTGAGTTGTGTGTCTTTAACCAGGTCAATTGGTCTCTGCTTCCACTTTCCTGTGGATAAAAGGAGATAAAGGCTCCCTGGCCTGACTTGTGTTATTCACATTATACAGTGAGGCAATGAGGCTTCTGGATGATGCAGGAGATGGGACTCGTGTAAGCCAGCCATCTGAAATCATGCCAGAATTTCACAGTGTGAAGCGAAAGTAATACCACATCGTTAGGTGGCAGACTTCAGGTCGGAAACCTGGGCCCAAGTCCCAAACTGGACACAGCCTTATGTCCTCTTGCTCTTTGAATCTCGATTTGTTTCTCATCTGTAAAATGGGAATAGTAATCCTTGCTCTGTCTACCTCACAAGGTTGTCAGGAGGATCAAAATATCTGTGTGAATCCCCTTTGTGAATTGTAGAGTGACACAAATTAAGGCATGATAGGATTCTACAATGTATGATTTCTTTCTGTTTTATTTTTCATCTATAGAATGTTTTTTATTCTTTTCACTATAGACCTATAAAATGAAGAGACAGCGGTAAAGAAAGGCGCTTTGGTGGGAGGCAGGAGCAGTAGAGGGCATGTGTCCTCAGTGAGGCTGGAACACTTTCAAGTCTCTAGATTTGATCATTTGTTATGAACCTAAATGTAACCAAAATGTATTGAGGTTAGGCCTCATTACAGTCTCTAGGTGGCATGGAAAGTCATGCCTGGGGTGATTCGGTTCTTAGATGGGCCCCTATTGATCAGAGGCCTTCTGGCTTGGAGGCAGGGATGAGACAGCCTGAGCCCTTTGTGGTCCTTGGCAGTGTATGCCTTGTTGGGCCTTCTGTGGGGACATGGCCAGCTCCCCAGCATGCTACCTTTCTGGTGAGAATCAGAGATGAGAGACACAAGCTTACTGAGTTTATAGGATGACTAAGGACCTGTTTCTCCTTGAGGATTGGCCTCATCTGGTGTTTGGTTAATCCAGTGCCCCCTGTGACTGTGTGTCTGTGGCTGAATCTTGGCTCTGTGTGAGTTCCCAGTGTCTTTCATTTACCCTAACTAGAAATGGTTGGGGAGACTTATCTAGGAGCCCAAGACAATAGGGGACTAACCCCTCCCCACCCTGATCAGAGAGGAAGACCTTTTTCTTGGCCTCTCTTTCCGTTTGGTGCTACTTAAGGATCCCCAGTGGCAATACAGTTATTGGTTTCCCCTCCAGACCTTTTTCCCAGAGACCACAGACATCTATGACAAGAAGAACATGCCCCGCGTGATCTATTGCATCCACGCTCTCAGGTGAGAAACCTCAAATTTCTGTCATCCAGGTTCCTCTAGATGAATGAACCCAGCAGTCGACAACAACAAACATTGCAGCAGGAAGGATGAAGGATAGACCACAAGGAACTCTTCTTAGGAGAATGAGATTTTAGATTTATGTAGTTGTGTTTAGATTTATGTTCATGTTTATGGGCACATTTATTTGTGACCCATGTGGATGCATAGAAAGGGCAGGTAGGGTAGGGTCCTTCAGCTTGTGAATGGGGTACAAAGGAATCAGAATAGGACCTATCATGAGCATCACACACAGGTGTTACATCATAGTGTGAATGGTGAAGGCTGGCCCTACTCACAGCCAGCCATCAGCAACCAGTTGGCTAAATCATAGGAAGTGACTGACTAGCTCCAGGCCACCTCTTCCTGACTTCATTCCTGTATCCTTTCCTGCATCTGTACCCTTGCTCGGTGGATCTCTGCTCGCTGTGTTCTTTCCATCCTTTGTATTCATCCAGTGACTTGCTACTGTAATATGACCTCTGTGAAGTCTTCCCCACTCCCCCCAGTCCTCTCGCACAGTGTCTTATTTATCTTCTGTAGCTCTTGCCTCAGGCTGACTTATAGCAACATTTTTTCCTATGGATTCGGGGTGACTTGAGGGCAGGTGCAATGGGATCTTCTCTGGATGTCCATAGTATTTCCTGCAAACCCATTATGGGCAGAGTATGGAAATGAACAGACCCTACCACCTTCCAATGCCTCCCATTCTTTCTCAGTCTTTTCCTCTTCCGGCTGGGATTGGCCCCTCAGATACATGATCTATACGGGAAAGTGAAATTCACAGGTAAGCCCACCTCCTTCCCTAGCCACCACAGTCTGGGCATGGTTTTGGGGGTTCTGGGCCTAATGAAGGGCACCGGTGGTGTCATTGCAGCTGAGGAACTCAGCAACATGGCCTCTGAACTGGCCAAATACTGCCTCCAGCTACCTGCCTTCAGCAAGATTGGTGGCATTCTGGCTAGCAAGCTCTCAGTGGATGAGGCTGCAGGTAAGGACTGTGCTCTGCCCTGCCAGTTCACTGAGTATAGGAGGACTCCAAGCCTCGCGGCCCTTAGGTAAGTTCTGGCCATCTCTCATCCTTAGGCAGGGCCATCAGGCTACCTGGTTTGCCTGGACCTGCCTAATAATGGATAAAAGGATGATGTCAGAGTGGCCTGCAGCTGGTTATGGCCTAGTTAAAAGGTTAAATCGCTTTAAAGCATCTGAGGTTCGTTCTGACCTCCTGATCTTGCTTCCATGCCATCTCCCAGTCCACGCAGCTGTTCTCGCCATCAATGAAGCAGTGGAGCGGGGAGTGGTCGAGGACACCCTGACTGCCTTGCAGAATCCCAGTGCATTATTGGAGAATCTCCGAGAGCCTCTGGCAGCCATCTACCAGGAGCTCTTGGCCCAGGCCAAGATGGAGAAGGCTGCCAATGCCAGGAACTGTGTAAGGAGGAACCTTGGGGTATAGGAGCCGAAAGCTGGGTAGCCTAGAAGTCCACAAGTGAAACTTGAGCTCTTCTCTGCCCAGTCTCTAGGTTCCAAAATTGCTTGTTGTTGTTATGTGCCGTTCAGTTGTCTCTGACTCATAGCAACCCCTCCTTGGGTTTCTGAGGCAGTATCACTACAGAAGTAGATTGCCCAGTCTTCCTTCCGAGGAGTGGCTGGTGGGTTTGAACCGCCAACCTTCTGGTTAGCAGTCAAGTGCCTTAGGCACTATGCCACCAGAGCTCCCCCAAAATTGCTTAGAGAAACTATATAACTTGTGAGTTATTTTAGAGAAATAAGAGAGCAACTTGGGAGAATAATGAGAATTCAGAAGAGAAGAAGAAGATGTTCTAGGACAATGGAGCTTCAGGAAGGCTGAGGAGAGATACTGGAACTTAGAATTGGGTGCTATTTGGACTGCATATTCCTAAGATTGGTTTCGCTTAATTGTGTCAATGCCAGGAGATTTGGACCCCATGATTTTCCCAGATTCTTCCTACCAGACTGATCTTTGGCCTTGGAAAGACACACACACCCCCCCCGCCCCCAGATAAAGAAATCTTTTATAGATAGGTAGGAGCAGTAGGAGAAGATTTAGTTGGTCTTCTCTGGTTCCCTCCTTAAAGTAGTTTTTGCAGGATGATGGAGAAAGCCAGGACATCTATGACCACTACCTAACTCAGGCTGAGATCCAGGGCAACATCAACCATGTCAATGGTAAGAGATGAAGGCTGGGAGGGGTTGAAGGAGTGTTCTCCCTGTACTGGGAGGTTTGGGGATGGCTTCTCTCAGGCCAGAGGGCCCTATAACCTTACTTGGGCCAAACTTGTCTCAGAGAAGGAGCAGAGTCAAGGCAGTATATGCTCTCCTTTCTTGTTCCCAATGTGTGGAGACAGTCCCTGTCATGGAGACCTCTGTTTGAATGGAGATCCATAAAGAGGACAAAGGCCAAGGGATCGGCCTTTTAGTTCTTGATACTGGGGGCAGTTGGACTGGGGTCCTTCAAGAAGGAAGTATGGGAAGTGGGTGGGTTTAGAGGGAGATCAGAGCAGGAGAGCTACTTGAAAGCTTAGGATAGGATGGGTGTTTGCCTATTTGGGTCAGGATATCTTCAGGGTCTGGGGTGGTGAGATGTTTAGGCCCCTAAAGAGCAAGCTGAAGAATTTGTGCTGGAGCAAATAGGTACAAAGAACCCAGAGGGCAGGGGTGAGAGTAATTCTGGCCAGGCAGAAAGAAGACAAATTCCTAGGGCTGGGCTGAAGATGGTGAGGGATGGGTTTTTTCACATTGTCCATAATGAGATCTAAGGAGCTCTGGTGGCACAGTGCCTAAGGCATTTGACTGCTAACCAGAAGGTTGGAGGTTCAAACCCACCAGCTGCTCTGTGGAAGAAAGATGGGCAATCTAGTTCTGTAAAGATTTACTGCCTTGGAAGACCCATGGGGGTCACTATGAGTCAGAATCTACTCGATGGCGGTGAGTTTGGTTTTGTTATTATGGGATCTTGGTCTTTTTCAGTCCATGGAGCTCTAGAAGTTGTTGATGATGCTCTGGAAAGACAGAACCCTCAATCTTTGCTTGAGGCCCTTCAAGACCCTGTGCTGGCCCTGCAAGGCGTAAGGAGAGACTATGCTGACTGGTATCTGGACCAGCTGGGCTCAGACAGAGAGCAGAAAGCTCAGGTCAGCCTCTATGACCTGCCACCTCTTCTGTAAGATTGTAGGGTGGGAGAGGCCTCTTACCCAGACATCACACTGTTAGTTCTTTGTAGTCAGTAGGTGCTGACTACATGTTTAAATGGTTAAATCACTTTAAAGCATAATGGACTAGACTGATCAGCTGAGATTCTCTGAGACTGACTGGGAAAGACCCAGGGATCGTCTAAGCAGGCAGTGCTATGCTCTCCTATAGCTGAACTACAGCTTCAATTTAGCAATCTTATTTTCAATGCAGTTGACTTTCTCCCTGACACTGTTTATCTTTGTATTGCTTATGTTGTTATTTCAGATGTTTGCTGGGCAAGAAAGAGCTAGAGGTCAGAGATGGGTTAATAGGGATGGGTGGGCCAGGTTAGTCTGCCTAAAGGGGAGAAGTAGGATTAAGGGTGAGAGCTCATGCTGGTGGCCCCTAAAGCGCATGTCCATGGCCTTGGGAGGACTCCATTTTAGGCCCTCTCTTCCCTCTTACAGGAGCTGGGGCTGGTGGAACTCTTGGAAAAGGAGGAGGTCCAGGCTGGTGTGACTGCAGCCAATATGAAGGGTGACCAGGAACAAGCCAGTAAGTCATCCCTTAGGCCTGAGGCCTGGCCTGGGTTTATCACTGGCTCTTGGAAGAGCATCTCATCCCTTTGCTTGAGCAATGCACACTGCTGCTCACCTTCCCAGCCTGGCAAGGGATTGCTCCCCTCCCATAGTCTGCTCTCTACCTGGCTACCTGGAGGGACACTATAGGTAAGTTTGTTACAGGCTTAGAGATAATAACATGTCAGTACGTCAATGGCCTGGATCTTCTTGGGGCAGGCAGTTTTCCTTCCAGGCATTTCGCCTGTAATTTTAACAGTTTCAACCTACTTGAGTTCCTTTGGCTTCTGAAATGTAGTGATTTCCCAGGTGAGAAAGAAACTCATGATCCAACTTAGTTTCCTTTAAGAACATTATATGCAAATATAATTCTTTGTTAGAAGAATGTTAGTCAGTCATTGTTAGACTCCAAAGGGATTAATCTGTTTTAGAAAGAAGGAATAGAAACCTTGCTTGACTCAGTGTTGATCTGCTATCAGGTTTTGAGTTGCTCAATAGCCATTTACTCTTTATTATTATTATTATATTTTTTATTGTGATTTGGGTGAAAGTTTACAGAGCAAATTCATTTTCCATACAGCAGTTCATACACCTTTTGTTTCATGACATTGACTGTAATTTCCCACAATGTAACAGCTCTCTTCCCACTTCCTCTTCCCTGTGCCCTTCTTCCCTATGCATTCCTACCCTCTGAGCTATCTCCCTGTGCAAATCCTGCTCTTCTGATCTCTGATGGTTGATTGTTCTAAAGAATGTATCTACCTGGTGTAAATGTTCACCTTATACACCTGTCTGTTATTTGGCTGGAAGCCACAGGCATGAGTTCAGTTCCAGGCCTGAAGGATGACTAGGGGCCATAGTCTTGAGGGTTTCACCAGTTCCAATCAGACCAATAAGCCTGGTCTTTTTTATGGTTTTTAGTTCTGTTCCACATCATTCTCCCACTCTGTCCAGGATCTCCTGCACTGATCCCTTTCTGAGTGGTTGCCAGTCGATAGCCATTTACTTTTGTCTAGGAGAGCTTTCAGAGGCTGTTGCACCATAGCCTCCAGGCTACTCCAGGCTAACTGCCTGCCTTATCAGCTCTGATCATTCCTGCTTGGTGCTGTAAGAGTAATCTCCTTGAAGCAAAGATCTGATCCAATATCCTCTGCTGGGCATCTTCAGACCTTCATTAGTTCTTCCATTTTCATCCTAGACTTTAGTCCCATCAGGAGCTTTGGTGGCACAGTGGTTAAATGCTCAGCTACTAACCAGAAGGTTGGCATTTTGAACCCACCAGCTACTCTGTGGGAGAAAGATGTGGCAGTCTGCTCCCATAAAGATTATAGTTTAGAAAACTTAGGGGGCAGTTCTACTCTGTCCTATCAGGTTGCTATGAATTGAAATTAACATGACAGCAATGGATTTGGTTTTTGGGTTTGATGAGGAGAGACCCACTGTTGCATCTAGATGGCTGCTTACAAGCTTTTAAGATCCTAACTAAAGGAGCCCTGGTGGCATGATGGTTAAGCACTCGACTGCTAACCAAAGGTTAGTAGTATGAACCTACCAGTTGTTCCATGGGAGAAAGCCCTGGTGATCTGCTCCTGTAAACATTACAGCCTAGAAAACCCTATGGGGCAGTTCTGCTCTGTCCTATAAGATGGCTATGAGTCAGAATGTTTTTTTTGGTTTGTTTTGTTTTTTGGTGGGTCCTATCTCCTTAGCCTGGCAGATAAGACCTTCCCAGTGTTCTTCCCATCCCTCTGCTTACACTCCAGCCAGCCCAGCCAAACAACCTGTTCTTTGATTGGCCTCCAGCCTTTCCCATCTCCAAGCCTCTGCTTCTCTAGATTCTGTGTCTTCCACATTGTCACTTACTAGAAAGCAGGTCAAAACATCTTCCAAAGACTGCATCAGGCTCTTCCTCTGTCTAGTCTTCTTGCTCTTTCCCAGCCAGCAACCCTCTTTCTCTGCACTGCCAAGGTTATTGGGGGAAGAGGAGTACTTCTAATAACATTGCATTGACCATAATTTACAGTACATTGTAGGATTTTCGTATTCTATTTCTCCCCAGTAGGTACTTGCTGCTAACCTAAAGATTGAACCTACCCAGTGGCTCTGTGAGAAGAAAACCTGGCAATCTGCTCCCTTAAAGATTATAGCCTAGAAAAGCCTGTGGAGAAGTTCTCCTCGGTCACTCAGTGGCACCTAACAACAGCATTTCTCCCCAGTAGATTGTGTGCTCCTTGATGCCAATGCCCGTATCTGCTTGGCACTTTATAAGCCACTTTATAAATAGTATTTGAAAACTAAAACTACTTTGATTCATCATAGCCCCTTACTAGCTTATTCCCTTCTTTTGAAGGCCAAATGGCTCCACCTTGGCACTAGTTCCTTTTTCTTCTGTTCTATTATCAAGGTTTGGTCCCAGGAGGTTGGCAGACAATGTTTCTACAAGTGTATTTGTATGTTCTGTAAGAACTCCCAGGTGTATAGTAGAGCTGACAAAGGACAAGGTTGTAGTCACTTTTTGGCCACAGCCAGCTACCTAGAAGGAGTGAATAATAGGACCTGTGGACTCAGGACTGTAGTCACAGGGGATATCAAGCTCAACTGGCATAACATATTATACAAAAACTTTGTTCCACCTCCTACTTTGGCAAGTAGCGACTAGGATCTTAAAAGCTTGCAGCCATCTGGATGCAACGATGGGTCTCTTCTCATCCAGAGCAAAGAAGAATGAAGAAAACCAAAGATGCATGGAAACAATTAGTCCAAACGACTGGTATACCATGCGATCCTCAGCCTATACATTTATGAGACCAGAAGAACTAGATGGTGCCCAGCTACCACAGTCAATGACTCAGAAGGGGATCTATGTAGGAGATCCTGGATAGAGTGGGAGAACAATGTGGAACAAAACGTAAAATCATTAAAAAAAAAAAGGACCAGGTTGGCTGGTCTGATAGAACCTGGTGGAACCCCTGAGACTATGGCCCCTAGCTGCCCTTCAGGTCTGGAATTGAACTTACTCCTGTGGCTTCCAGCCAAACAAAAGACAGGCATACAAGCTGAACATTTACATTAGGTAGATGCACTCCCTGGAGAGAACAATCATGGGAGAATAGAAGGGCTGTGTACACACAGGGAGACAGCTCAGGGGGCAGGAGTGCATGGGAGGGAAAGACACAGGGAAGAGGTAACTATGGGGAGGAAGTGGGAGGGGAGCTGTTGCATTATGGGAAATTGTAGTCAATGTCATGAGACAAAGTGTATGTGAGCTGCTGTATGGAAGATGAATTTGCTCTGTAAACTTTCACCCAAATCACAAAAAAAAAAAAAAAAAAAAAAAAAAAAGGTTTGGTCCCTGGACCCCCTTGGCTAAACCTCACCTTAGTTCACTCTGTAGCCATCTGTCAGTCTTGTGCTCACCACCTAAGGAGCTCACCTCTGCCGTGACAGGCCTCTGTGATGCGTACTGAGCTACTCAACTTCTAGGCTTGACAAATCTCTTCTTACACAGCCTTTTCTTAAAACGACCCAACTTCTTTTCCTCCGGAATATTTAGAAACATGTTTTGAACCTAGCAGAGCCTAGAATTTTTACAAATTACAAAGCCATTTCCCCTTGGAAATCCCCAGACAAGCCTAATTGACTAGGAGAGTGGAGATGACGCTGAGTGCCCAGCAGTGAAGCCTCTGCCTCCTCTGCTGCAGTGCTCCAGGCAGTGCGGCGGATCAACAGCGCCATCCAGAGGGGAGTGGCAGCTGACACCATGAAGGAGCTGATGTGCCCTGAAGCCCAGCTGCCTCCAGTATACCCCTTTGCCTCGGCTCTGTACCAGCAGGAACTGGCAGTACTCCAGCAGCAGCAGCAGCGGGTAAGCCCCAGGAATGAGATATCTAGCTCTCAGGGTTCCCAAGCAGCTGCAGGGATCAGGGCAATCAGTCCAGAGCACCCTCCGAAGGCAGCCTCAGATACTGGCAAGAAAGTAGCAGAGGGAGGAGGCTACTATCCTTTGCTTCCCGACCATATTATAATAACTAGTACTCTTGATTGAGCACTGTTTTACATACACTACCTCATTTAGTCCTTAAAAGAACCTTATAAGTATGCTTTCCATTTTAGAGATGAGGAAACAGATCTAGAAGTTAAGTACCTTGCCTAACACAGCTGTCACTGGCAGTGCTGGGAGTGAATGCAAATCTAAATGTACTTGAAGCTGTGTGTTCAACCACTCTGCTGTTGAACCACTAGCTCACTTCAACCCATACGGTCTTTCTTATAGTGGGTGAGGTAAGAGGGCCCTTCCTCAGAGAGTTCCTAGTCTGTTGGAGGAGTTGGAATATACTCAAGGATCCAGACAGACACAGTGAGGGGAAGGGTAGATGATCTGGGCAGAAGATTTCAGACCCAGGAAATGAACGGAGCAGAGCTGGCGATAAGTCTGCAAAGGCTTCCTGGAAGAGAGGAGAATAGACTAGAGAATCACACCCATAGCAGGCGTTTATAGAGGATCTACTCTGGGCACAGCCTGGACACAGGCATGACACCCAGGAGGAGCACAGTCTCAATGTAACAATAACTACAGTGCAAGGAAGCGTCAGATAAGAACTGAGAGGTAAAGTGTTGTGACTAAGATTGTGGATATTAGAGTCAGATTGCCCAAGTTCAAATCCAGCTCTGTTGCTCCCTATCTTTTGACCTTGGTCAAATTATTTACCTTCTCTGTCCCTCAATTTCTTCACATATAAAATGGGGACAATAATATATTTACCACATAGGAATAAATGTAAGGAATAAATGAGTTAATATATGTGCTAAGAAAGAGTTGAGCACAGAGTAAGTGTTGTATAAGTTTTAACTATTATGATTGTTACTAGCAACATTCTGTTAGTAGAGGAGGATAGGGAGGATGCTCCTGGCAGAGGGAACAACATAAGCAGATGTTTGAGGAGAAAAACTGGACAGAGCCTTTTTGGGTGTACAGTGTAGCAGTGACTGCTTTATCATCTTGGTATGCTCAGGACCTGGTGCCATTCCCAATGTGTAGTAGGGATGAGAAGGGGGATGGTAGAGCTCATTGGTTAAGTATGGGCTCTGGAATCAGGCAGTTAGGTTTAAACCCTTGCTACATAATTCACATCACTTGACTGTGGACTCATAGAACCTCTTGTTTCCTCATCTGTGAAATAGATATTAATACCTCACTGGCTTGTTATGAAAATTAAGTGATAATGTATGTGAAAGTACTTATACAGTGAGCACATAGTAAGTATTCAAAAGTGTTAAGTATGATTATTTTTCAGTGAGTGAACCAGGCCATTGGGGTTTTGGGATGGAGACTTGGGGATATATACGAGTCTTGGAGTCAGGGAAGTGAGCCCTGGTGGCACAATAGTTAAGCACTAGCAACTAACCAAAAGGTTGGTGGTTCAAACCCACTAGCCACTCCGCAGGAGAAAGATGTGACAGTCTGCTTCCATAAAGATTATAGCCTTGGAAACCCTATGAGGAAGTTCTACTCTGTCCTATAGGGTCGCTATGATTCAGAATCCACTTGACGTCAGTGATAGATTAGGGTCAGGATGGAGGCTTGGCTCCCCAGCTCTTTGCCAACCCACTTGAAAGTGACCCCACCCCTGCATTTAGGAGCTTGGCCAGGAGGAGCTCTTTGTGGCTGTGGAGATGCTCTCAGCTGTGGTCCTGATTAACCAGGCCTTGGAAGCCAGGGATGCCAGCAGCTTCTGGAGCAGCCTCGTGAGCCCAGCCACAGGCCTGACTGAGGTGGAAAGAGAGAATGCTCAGCGGTGAGAAAGGGTTAGCCGCATGTTGGTAGCAGTCGTGAGGGGTTGGGTAGAGGGGATGTAACCAAGATTCAGTGTTCTTCTGCTTGGAGACTAGCCTTCTGTATCCCCATTCCTGAGCCCAGGCCTCCTAGTTCCTTGGCCTATGTTTCTACACAGCGGGTGGGTTCATAGCCATGTCTCTCTCCCAACTCATTCATTCTTTCATAGCTAATGTTTGAGTACCAACCATGTGTCAGATACTGTTTGAGTTGCTGGGGAATAGTAGTGAACAAAACAAAGTCCCTGCTGTCATTGAATGTACATGCTATTAGAGGGAGACAGAAACCCCTTCCCCCCCAAAAAAGATGATTAAAACAGAAGAACTCTGAAGAAAAATGAAGCAAGACCAAGGGGAAAAGGGTGGAAACATAGGGATGGTTTTTCTGTTTTACACGGTGTGGTTATAGAAGGCTTCTTTGGTAAGGGGGTCATTTTGAGAAAGACCTTAAGGGTATAAATGGTTGCCATGAGGCTATGTGGGGGCAGAGGCCCTGAAAAAGAAGCATGCTTGGTGTGTTCAAAGAACACAAGGAATCTGGGGTAGTGGCGTGCGGAAGGGATAGTAGGAAAAGAGGAAAATGGAGTGGCAGAGCCAGCGCATATAGGCCTCTGGCTTATACTCTGAGTGAAGAAGGAAGCCACAGGAGGGTTTGAGCAAGGAGGGAGATGATCTGACCTACTTTTAACAGGATCTCGCTGACTGCTGTGCTGAAAATTGACTCTAGAGAGACAAGGGAAGAAGCAGGGAGACCTGGGATGAGTAATTAGGCAGGAAAAGATGGGGGCTTGGTCTAGGGTGGTAGCAGTGGAGGTGGTGTAACGGAGTTGGATTTTGGATATATTTTGAAAGCAAAACTGGCAGGATTTGATTATGTAGTGGATATGGGGTATGAGAGAGTAGAATTGGGTATGACTCCCAGATTTTTGGCCTTAGGTTAGAGTTAATATTTACTGAGAAGGAAAAGATTTTAGGAGACACAGGTTGGGTGGAGGGAATCAAGGGTACAGATGTGTGATATTGGGTGTGAGATGCTTGTTAGACATTTGTGTAGAGATACCAAGGAGGCAGCTGGGATATGTGAATGGACTGGAGGCATACTTTTGGGAGTCATTAGAATACAGTGCTTAAAGCCATAGATTGCATGAAATCACTTAGGATGAGACTATGGAGAGAGAAAAGTCTGAAGACTGAGCTTTGGGATGCTTCAGTGTTGAAAGGCCAGGGAGAAATCAACCTAGGAGGCTTAGAACAACCTTTATGGGCAGAGGATAACCAAGAGAATGTGGTGTCCTGAGGCCAAGTAAAAAATATTCCAAATGTTTCCTTTGACTTTTGGATGATGATGTTTATGCTGCTCACCTCATTGTCTTCACCTTGTTGCCAGTTACTTTGATGCCCTGGTGAAGCTGCAACAGGTGCGTGGAGCAGATGGGGCCTTTCTGAGCTGGAATGACCTGCAGGCCACCTTGAGCCAGGTCAACGCCCAGGTCCAAGAAGAGACCGATCGTAAGTTAAGTCCTGGACTAGGGAAGATAGCCTAACGTGGCAGCCCTGTCCCTTAGCCATAAGTCTGGGAGCCCCTGCTCACTTAGATCTCTTTACCAGGGGTCCTCGCAGTCAGCCTCATCAATGAGGCTCTGGACCATGGCAGCCCTGAGAAGACCCTAACTGCCCTGATGCTTCCTGCAGCCGGCTTGGATGATGTCAGGCTCTCTGTTGCCTCTTGTTACCATCTCCTCCTCGTGGCAGCCAAAAGACAGAAGGCCCAGGTGAGGTTGGCTGGAGTGGTCAGTAGAGCACTCAGAAGATCCCTGTGAGCAGAGCCCTGTGCCCAGTGAACCCTGCCAGTCTGGTAGATATAGTCCCTTCCCGGGTCAAGGGCCATCAGTGGTTCCCATCTGATTGGGGAAGATGGCCTACACCACCAGGGCTGAGAGACAGGATAGATGGTTGAGTAGGACCAAGTTGTAGTTGCCAGTGGGGTCCTTGTGTCTGGGAAGAGCACAAACTTGGAGCCAGAGGACACGAACTGGATTTCCTGCTCTGATACTTACTGATTATGTATGTGACTACGTGACTTGAGCAAATCCCCTTAATGTCTCTGTTCTTTCATCTGTAAAATACTATGTGTGCTGGTCCTATCTACTACCATGAATAAGGGTAGAAATCAAGTAAGTGAATGTGACAGAGTCTATAACCTGTAATGCCTTGAGTATGTCACAGTAGAGAGAGCAGTTAAGAGCCAGGACTCTGGAGCCAGACTACTTGAGTTTGATCTTGGCTTCACTGCTTGCTGGCAGTCTGACCCTTCACGTGTTACTTAACCTCCTGTGCCTCAATTTCCTCACCTACAAACTTGTGATAGTGATGAAATTATCTCATAGTTGTGAGATTGAAATGAGGTAATAGTAACGCTAAAAAAAAAAAAAAAAACTAACTGCCGTCAAGTTGGATCCAACTCATAGCGACCCTTCCTTGGCTTT